TACCAGTGAACTGGTCACTAAGTTCAGCCTTTTCTCAACAAAAATTAAGGTCTGAGAGAATACAGCTTTCCATTTCAATAAAAACTATTAGAAAACCTTACGTATTTCGTTACAGACCTGCTTGTTAGACTGCCTTTATTCCATAGAGGATCTATAGACCAATAACCTTATAGTTTATCATGTTACAAATCTGATTTTAACTGACCCCCTTTCCTTCCAAGTGAGATTTCTTTATTTTTTTTTTCCTTTTTGTCTTTTTTCGTGACCGGCTACGGATCGCAACCCTCGGTGTTGCGGCCGCACCTCGCTCAGCCAGTGAGCGGCCGGTCTGTATGTGGGATCCGAACCCTCGGCGGGAGTGCCGCCGCGCTCTCAAGCGGTGCACTGTAGCAGTGCGCCACCGGGCTGGCCCCGAGAGATTTCTTTAGAAGACCGAATTCTAAAAAGATAGGTAATGAAAGAAATAACTAATATGAGGGTACCTCAAAAAGTTCANGAATTCTAAAAAGATAGGTAATGAAAGAAATAACTAATATGAGGGTACCTCAAAAAGTTCATGGACAGATTTGTATTATCTTTCAATTTTATTTTTCCACAAACTTTTGAAGTGTCCTTATAAAGACACTGATGAATAACATTATGGGTTTGGTTTTTAGTAAACATTTGTTCTTTCAAGAAGGTCATGCACTTGGTCCCCTCAGTTACACAGGAAGTAGCACTCAGAAGAAAGTAAATTTACATTAATAGGTGTTTAGATTGAGGGAAATTAAATTCTCCATCAGACCCTGAAGTTTTCATTCAAATCTGTAGAAACAGAAAATAGGTTCATGGTTGACACTTAAATACTATTGTAGCCACATGAAAGAAATACGCCACAGAAGCTTTTTAAAATTTGGTCCCTAAAGCATCTAACATTCCACGCCTTTGGTCACATGTGTGGGACCTCTAAGCACTTCCCCTCTTTTTTTTTTTTTTTTAAGGCATTTTAAAAATGTTTTCCAACTTGTTTTAGGTGAGAAATAGCTTAAGATTTTCATTGCCACTACCAGGTTGAACTTGGATGTAGCTGGGTTTGTTCTACTGACCACGGCTTTAAGTGTTTTCAGTGTTGGTGTTTCCCAAGACCCTTTTGTCCTCAAGTGTGAGGTTTATGCTTTCTTGAGGGTGAACTGACTTAGCCACAGTCCCCTTCTAATCGCCATAGGCTACAAGACCACCCCAGTGCCAGTGGGAAAAGTCAGGTGTGATGAATTTGTGTAGATCTAAGCCAGTTCTGTACTTCGGTGAGAGCCTTTGGAGGGTTGGTAATAGGTAGACTTTGCCACTAAAATTTCCAGGGGGG